AAAACAGGGTGACGCGGGTGGCCCAGCTGGTAGCCTTGCTTTAAGTTCTTTCTTTTTCTGGGTGGGGGTTTTCTGTGCCGCCCAGAGGAGCTCAAATTCGGGCTCGTTTCTCTTGTTGAGTGTTGGCTGTCAAGGGGGGGAAAGGGGGGTATAAATTGGTTTTCAAGGGGCTAAAGAGGTCTAAAGGGGGGGGTGCCTTAGTCTGATTCTGTTGTTTTCTTTTTTATCTTCGAATCCGTGAGGATTCTGATATGACTCTCAGCCAAAAGCCGTTTTTGTATTGCAATTCTACACAACATTTTTTTTCTAGATTTTATTATTATTATTATTATTTATTTATTTTTTTGGTTGCACGAGGGCTGCCCGGAACCCTGCCTGGGGTTCATGCCCGGCTGGGCACCCGGGCGTTTGTCCAGGCACAAGTTGGGTGCTCGGGCCCCCGGAAAAACAGGGAATTGTGAAGAAGATAACAGCAATTCCCACGATAATCTTCACCGAAGCAAACTCGAAAGAAACTCCAAGAGAGAAATTCCAGAGATCAAACCTTGCAGGAGGTAATTGAAAAAAAAAAAAAAAAAAAAAAAAGTACCGTAATAGGATTTTGGAAAATTTGGGTAATTTCTATTTTTTTTCATTTTCCTAATTAATCATTATTTTATGACTTGTATTACTATTTTTAGTATTTTATAATTTTTAATATTTTTTATCTTATCTGTTCCTTGATTGTCCCTTTGGTTTTTGCAGGCTTTGGTATGCGGGCCTTTGCCCATGACTAAGGCCATGGGTGGACACCTTGACGCAGTTGGGTATTCGCCGGAACAGCAGTTCCGCTTCTAATAAGAGTTCTGGCAATGCCGGCAAGGACAACAACATAATTTTTGATTTTGACATTGCGCTGACGAGAGAGCGGATGAGCGGTTTTGTTAACCACCAGCACTTGTCATAGCTATGGATGCCGCGCCTAAAAACGCCCCGCGCAACAAAAAAAAAAAAACGGAGCGCCGTGGCCAGTCATTTTGGTCCGGTACCTCCCCCCCCGGAAATATGCGGCCGTATACGAGCCCCATATTTGTTTTTCAAGCTGGGCGAAGTGCTGCTGGGTTTCAAGTCAGGTGGTCTCCAAGCACGCAAAATTGCAAATATACCCCTTGTGGTCATTTCAGTCATCAATACCCCACCCACATCTGGACCAAGGTCGGGCCCCCACCCACTCGCCGCAACTCGATGTCTCTGGCCGTTGGTCCTCTCTTGTAATCTACGGTCGAGACTCGAGACTGAAGAGGGGTCCCGACAACTGGGACTGCGCACCGGGTAACCTGTGTAGGTGTCCTTAGATAGGGAGCAGCTGGTACATTCTCGGGCATTTGGTGCGCTGGAACTGCGCACTTGGTACCTATGTAGGTTGTCCTTAGATAGGCAGCAGCTGGTACATTCTCGGGCATTTGGGGCGCTGGATTTGCATTGCGCACAGGAAGGGAGGAGGGAGGGAAGCAGGGAGGGATCAAGAAACAGAAGGATGAAGGGATGGAGTTTGACGGCGGTAGGGACGTGAGGGAGCAGAGTGCACTGGATTTGCGTTTTTTTAAGTTTTTTTTTTTGTTTTTGTGTTCTTTTTCGGGTTCTTTTTTTTTTGACATCGTAGGCGGGGGCCGTGCCAATCTTAAAAAAAAAAAAAAAAAAAAAAAAAAAAAACTTATCTGTACAGGTCCCAAATTCAATGGATGTTCTGGATCTTCTGATAGACAGTGGATTTGCTTTTTACGGAGGGAGGGAGGAAGGAAAAAGGGACGGTGGGGGCTGAGAGGAATGGAAGGACAGGCCAAGGGAGGGGAGGGAAGGAGGGAGGGGAGGGCATGAAGGGCGCATGGTTCTGCACCGTTGGATGGGAGGGAGGGAGGGAGAAGGGCCAATAAGCAGCCGGAATTTGAGCGGACAGCCCAAGGGAAGGAAGGAGGAAGGAATAAGGGACGCTGGTGGTCGAGGGAATGGAAGGACAGGCCAAGGGAGGGGAGGGGAGGGGAGGGCATGAAAAGGCCGCACGGTTCTGGACCGTTGAATGGGAGGGAGGGAGGAAGAAGGGCCGACAAACGGCCGGAAGAATTGGGAGGACAGCCCAAGGGAAGGAAGGAGGGAGGAAGAAGGGACGCAGACAGCTCAGAGGAACCGGATGACTGCGCAATGGAGGGAAGGAGGGAAGGAGGGAGGTGAGTACGTGAAGGGAGCATGTTTCTGGACCTTTGGATGGGGGTTAGAGGGAGGGAGGGAGGGAGGGAGTGAGGGAGGGAGGGAGGAAGAAGGGCCAACAAGCGCCCGGAAGAATTGGGAGGACAGCCCAAGGGAAGGATGAGGGAGGAAGACGGGACGCAGGAAGCTGAGAGGAATTGGAGGACTGCTCAATGGAGGGAAGGAGGGAAGGAGGGAAGGAGGGAGGTGATTGCGTGAAGGGAGCATGATTCTGGACCACTGGATGGGGGGTTTAGAGGGAGGGAGGGAGAGAGGGAGGGAGGAAGAAGGGCCACAGGCGCCCGGAAGGAGTGGGAGGACAGCCCAATGGAGAGAAGGAGAAGCAGAGGGAAGGACAGGGAAGGACAGGGAAGGACAGGGAAGGACAGGGAAGGACAGGGAAGGGCAGGGAGGTGAGGCAGTGAAGAGAGTATGACTCTCGAGTCTGGACCTTCGGATGGGGGTATAGATCAACGATATGGAAACTTGTAGGTTCCATTCAAGTTCCAAATGTATGAAAAAAACAATGGGCAACCATAAGATGGATCTTTCCTTTCATATGTGATGGCTCACTTTGAGCAGCTAGGTCATGGAGCATGGATCATGGACTCCTTCAAATTGAAAGGGAGATAGAAAAGGACCGAAATATACGCTGTGAACTCCGTTTCTCTGATCAGCAGCGAAGTGAATCACTCATTCGAGGCGTTCCTCTGCTCAGCAGCAATGGAACTTTTTTTTTTTTTTTTTTTTTTTTTTTT